TCTTCTTCTTCTTCTTCAGAAAGACCCTGGATTGAGTGGACCAGTTCCTGTACAACGACACAAGAACTCGTCAAGACTGACATGATGCGGAAGGTAAGGGATGCTGCCTTATTCTTACCTTATTCGTATGCGACAATCACACGATCAAAAGCGACACATAATTGACAAGTCTAATAGTAATGCGGTGGTGGCTTGGACTAGGATTTTTATCAAGACTTCTAGAGAAAAACCTCTTTATAAATGTGGTATTGTCAGCTGACTAGTGTCGTCTTAGGGAAGGGTTATGGACTATAAACCAGCACTGGAGTTTAATTCATTGAAGTGTTTGAAAAGCCTATATGAAAATAAAGTTTAAAATTAAATTAAAAGAAGAAGTATCCCACTAAAAATTCCCGCGCATTAGCGACAGCATTCCAACCAATCATATCGATACATTTGTCTGTTCGAGACGTTAAATCCTCCAGAATCCGTTTCTCTTAAAACTTTTTTAAGCTTACCTTAGTAACGGCAGTAATAAATCGAAACATCACATCACACCGTATTATGTGTACTCCTTTGTATCGTGTGAATTCCTTTTAATTGCCTTTCAATATAAAGAATAGGCTGCAAGGGAGGCTCACAATCATCTAAACTTCTGCCACACTTTAATCATCAGAGAAATCACAGAGAGACGTAAATTTCTCATCTCCTATCTTTTATAACTACAGGGACGTGTTTTTATGACTGAACAGCAAATGTGCGTGTATGTGTGATGATAAAATTGGCCCCCTAGATACACGGTAAGGTACTAAACCCACCGACTGCAGACAACTAAAGGTCAGTCTTGTTATTGCGCGTTCTCTTGCGTCAAAAACTAGGAATTGAACTATAGTCTCGTACACGCATACGGCACTGCTCTTTGCAGTAGTTCACGTAATCTAGATATATCATCCTCGGGAAAGGCTTCTTTGTGTAAGGTAGAAAAATTCATCACCCTGCTACCACTTCACGACTTCGATAGTCGGTTAAACGTAAACAATGAGAGCTACCAAGTATTTGCCTTGATACCCAAGGTGATGCGCCAATTCAAACAAACCGGCATTAAATTCACACAAATCCATGTTCAATTAAACATCCAGCTATCCATTATTGCGTTTCTCTCCTCTCTGATATTTACTTTTTACCTTCGGCATTGCTTCACCTAAAGTCAGGATGTTTAGCCTGCCAATCTATAGGTTTTGACGCGTGATTTGACATCGGATGATTTGAAACAAAAATGAGTCACACTTTCGCAGCACAAATTAGGCGAATTGAAATGTGCAACTTTAAAGTTTACTGTAACTTGAAGGTCACTTAGAAGACTTAATTCTGAGGGCTATAAAACACACAGCACCCAGTATTACATCCTTCGGTGATAATCCAACCAAATTGCAGAGCACTTGGAGAGAGAGAGAGAGAGGAGGGGAGGGGGTGGGAGAATGGCGTTAAATCCTTCTAGATTCTCACAGGGGTAAAAAGATTGTGGTTTAAAGCGTTGTTAAATGACTAAAGAAGGATCATCTGGAGGAGTCATCGGGGCACGTAGTAAGCTACAAGGGGAATAGGCAAGCTTATTATGATGTTCAAAAAGGAAATTCCTTTCAAAATAAACAAGATATTCTGTTGGTTACTGTGATTTCGAGGGAAGGGAGTGAGCGGGCTGATTCACTGTCCATCCCCCATGTCTCTAAATCCATACATCAAAACGCGCCCCCCACCATTTGTCTGCTCATTTAAATCATGTCAGCTAGAGGGTACATGCGGGTATTTCTACAACACTTGAACATCCGTTCCCCTTCATATCCTTGAAGGCTTGTTGTTCATGAATAATCTCCCATTTCAGAACTGGTAAGATATTTGGTTGGTTGGTTGGCTGGAGTTTTATGATAACACAATACACAAGATCAAAACACCGGAAGTAGGTTAAGGGAACGAGAAGACAAAAAAGCTTTGTTTTATGTGCACTAATACAGAGGCAAAGCGAATCAAACAGAGCAAATAGACTATCTACTTAAAAAACCGGTTGTTTTCCTTTTGTGAGCGATGCATACCTCTTTTATAAGAAGCGTAGGTCTAACAGTCCCGAGGAATATCGACTGCTAAGCGATTGCTCAATAGGGGTGATCTACCATTGGTAGCTACAAATGCGGAAAGAACAAGACTAAATGAAGCACGAGTGATAATTTTTCTCACAAAAATGATCTTTATTCAGATAAAATGTGAATCATTGTTTAATACAATGAAAGTTAGGAGAAATTTCTTCTTTAGAAAGGAAGCTCTGTGGAACATCTCCAGGGATTTACCTCTTTAACAAAGCAGGATTTAATTACTTTGTGTGGATAAGGAACGACATGAAAGATTTGAATGACCTAAAAAATACCACGGCATTGTGTTACGGCTAAAGCAAACACTGTAGAAACGAGCTAAACGGTGCTCCTACCCCATGGATTGATGAAATTATTGCCTAATATAAACTGACGGGACCTGCATACGGTGACCTGCCATATTTCCGATGGCTGGAGCTTGCATGCTACCATTTAATCGCACTTTTCTCAAGCTCTGCATTTTCACACGATAATGAATGCAATATCTTGTGTGTAAAAGGGTTCTCTCGTTGAGGCTGGAGTCGGTTATGCATAAGATGCATTTCCTTGTAGCTACCGGAGACTTCCTCAAAGTCCCCTTGATTCCACCCATTAATTACGTATGGAAAGGCTGGGTAGCTGTAAGCATAAGCCAAAGATCACGGTGTCGAGAGGAAGTACTTCCATTTTATCTACCGTGGAATTATAGCACTCTCTCCGATGGAACTAAAGAATCTTGAATCAATCTACTGTGAATGTACTCACCAGATTTACTGTATGCTTGCTTGTTTGTTGAGTTGACTTATTGTGAAATCCAGAGGGGACTGTAAAATAGAAACTTATGGGAATCTAATTAAGGTTCCTACATTGACAATAGGCCAAAATACCTTACTTGAGTTACGATTTTTCTGGAAGATGAGAATAATTTGGTCATACTTAATCAGTATGGCTATCATTATAACTTGCTGCTATATGCCATTGTTTCGTATTTTCTAGGAAAAATACCAATCTCTATTTTTCCTGTTCATCACCAGTCATTTGTTTGACTGCATTTTGAAAACAATAAAGACGGGATGATGAGGAGGAGGTTGTCCTACGAGTCGGCTATTCCACCAGTTTTGTCTGGCAATAATTCGGATTCTCACTTCCTACAATAAAGATATTTCATGCTACCTGCCCGTAGACTGCATCAAATAGGAGCGGTTTGGCATTACACTTTGAACACTGTGAATAAAAAATGAGGTAAATACCGAAATTACAAACGGCTTGCTGCGAATGGGTAGTTAGAGTTCCCTTTCTCATAGTAACAGAGTCTACAATTTGTTCGGACATGATTTGGTAGTGACCATACCGGCAATACAAATGCACAGTTCTGCTGATGTTCACCCTATGGTAGTCAAAGGAAACAGGAATTAAAAACGAGAGCTTCTATAACTCTTTCGCTCAAACGGGAGAATAGCACTTGATAAGATTCCAGGAAAGCCAAGCATGAGTGTTAAATCCATCTGCCATGTTCTATTCCGTAACTACGCAGTGGTTTGGTAAAGTGTGTTCCGAGTGAGTAATTCAGCAACTGCTGATGGAGGAACATAGGCACGGGAGACTATATATGTAACACCGTAGTAGTTCGCTTAACCCTCGGCTTTGGTAAAGGAGCCACTTAGGGGCTCCACCATTGTACGCCCGCCAGAAGACCCCAATCCTTTCTATATGCCGACAGTGCATAATCTACCCAAGAATTATATCAGCTTTCGGCTTCATGGAAGTCTCAAGGTGCTACAGATATGTTCTCCCAATTCTTGACAAATTGCCGCCGCCGCCTCTTCACCTTAGAGAAGGTGGGTCTGTAAATTATCTTAGCGTTATTTACTTTGAAGTATATGTGAATCTGGCAACGGTGAGAAAGTATTTCTCACGTTCCTGTCACTGCATTTGATACATTAATGTGCTACTATGCCTATTGAGCACACTTTTTGTCGAGGCGTCATTCAATGGCACATCCGGTTTGTCATACTTTGCGTGCCCTCCTTTCCTCTACCTGTGTTTCGATGATTTGAAGTGGAGTAAATTTTACTTGTCTACTACAAAAAGGTGGAATATTGATGATTTCGGCGTGATGTTTAAAAAAATATCATTAAGTCTCTCAATCTGACAGTTTGATTGGCCCAATGTAATCTTTCTATCGAACAAGACAATTGCATTACCTCTAGAGGGGTGTATAGATTGACTTTGCAATCATTTTGCCTTACCTACCAGACGAGAGTTGGAGTAAGGAGGCCATCGTCGTGTTTAGATTGAAGGTTCTCCGCATAGGTGGTATGAACAACCCACATTGGCATCGACATAAAGGCTCAAAAGACCTGTAAAATGAAAAAAATATTGCTTTTGGTTCTAGTTTGATGGGACCCTACTAAAACAGGACTACAGTTCTGCAATGACCGGATTTGAACTGGTAATTGACCGCATATGCTTCGTACAAAACATCCTGTTTACTACACACACCAGGTCAGATCACTGACCTCCCTCCCTGTGTCCTCATGTGGCTTCTGTGAAAGTGTTTGAATATGTGCGCGTGTGTGCATGCGACCTTCAAATGCGTCGTTACATTTTTTTCTTTCATTTAACAAAACCACGAAGACATGCTCAACAGTACTGACATTTACACACACAAATAACCGACCACATGGACGCTACCTCCTCACCTTACCATCGCAAATATCAGCCTTCTCAATGCAATAAACGCCCTTCCTTGCCGTCTGCTTCCCTTCCCTCCAAAGATTATCAAAAAGGAAAATAGAGGAGGATCACTCATCCCCGCCTTCACTCCAAAGACGAATGCTAAACAGCTGTGTGTGTGCGCCATATCAGAGGGTGGGAGAGGGGAGGAAGAGGTGGTGGGGGGGAGTAGTCTGTAGGGGACGTGGAGGAGACGGAACAGCATTCAGACATCGGTGCTGACATTGGCGTAGGGAGAGAGAATGTGATCACAAGAATGGCATGGGAGGAAAGGAAGGAGAGACGGCTGTTAATAGGACTATTCTCTAGTTTGCTTATCCCAGTAGTCTGGACGACGAGTCCATCGTGTAGAGGGTAGGGGTGGGAGGGGCAACCCCCGAAGAGATGAGCTAGAAACCAACTGATAATTTGTTTACTCCCACTTCCGTTTGGTATGGAAAAAGGAGGTTCAACTCCATTTGGGTATCTTCTTTGCACATACACATCGTCTTAGGCGGAAAGGCGCCGTTGGACTTATCAAACGTGAGACGTCACTAATTCGGTCTAGACAAATGATTCGAAGTGAGGATTGGGAAACGGCACCGCATGTTGGATGCAACAGGTGCTTATTAATTTAAACGTAAATCCCTAGTTGAGGGAAGAAATTCCTCGATGATCCCTTTGTTTCCCTTCTCTTTCTTTGGGAGTTCACTTTGGAGCATTTTATTAGTTAAAACCTTTCTTCTAGAACAGTCGGACAGGCAAGCCAGCAGTTGTCTAAGTGCTCACTCGGAACAGACATGACTGAACCTCTAGATGTCGTAGAGCAGAACATTGCAGGCAGCCCCAGCGCTCACATTCGGCTTCTCTGAAATCCTATTGAGTGCTATTCTTCTGTTTGAGAAAATGAACTGTAAAAATTCTCGTTTTCTATTTCTGCTGCTTTTAGCTACCATGGGGTGGACATCATCGCCACTCTATATCCATCTTATCCTTATGGTCACTACCAAATCATGCCCAATCAAATTGCATATGCTAATTCTACTGGAGAGGGAACCTTGTCCACTTTTTCGCAGTAAGCCATTTGTGATTTCGGTACCCACCTCACCTTTTCTTCATAATATTCAAAATGAAAGTAGTATAAGGAGTATGGGAGTGAAAACTCGCATAATTGGCAAAACAAACTGCTGGAAGAGCAGACTCGTGGGACAGAGGTAGTAACATGACACAATAGAACCTTACCACTCACTGTTTCTCGCTCTCCTCCTCCGCCAGTCTTCATTGTTTTTTAAAGTAAAAATGAATGGAGTTAACTGAATGACTGATGGCAAATAGGGGAAATAGGATTGGTTTCTGCAGTGAGCATAAGGATGAATAGAAGGCGATGGCATGCTTATAATCTATTGCTCCCAAATCAAAGAGGAAGTACTTTAAAATGACCTAAGTAGTGATTTTGCTCCACAAAATATGGAGTGTTTTGAATGTTATCAAACCTACAATCGTCGTGGCTCTGAAGTGAGCTTGAATTACATTTGTCGTTCCAGATAACCAATGCTGACGGACAAGTGCGTTTTTTTCATTAAATAAATTTTTAAAAATTATTTTAATTCCCTTTTTCCGCTTAAAGCTCCGGGAAAACCGAGTGGAGAGAGATGTTACAGCTGAGTTGCCCTGAAGGTTAGCAACTACGCTATTTCTCTAGTGCATATTTCTACATCGAAAAATGTAAAAGTTCGTTCAACCCTTCGTTGAAGTGCCTAGTGGGAAAACAAATACATGTGACTACACTTTTTAGGCGCGTATGCAAAGAATTTCTGAGATAACTGTTGCTACCTTACATTCAACTTAGTAAGCCCTTCCTTGATTGATTCCTCTTTCAATTTAGGCCTACATTTTCCCATAAGCAGGGCATTTAATCATGTTTGTGCATATGTGTAAACAAAAACATTTCCCACTGATGTACAATTGGTAAGGCAGGTTAAGAGGTACAGGTGGGGACATACCTTAGTTCTAGGGCCCGGAGACTTCCTTGAAGGTGAAGGAAGGACATAATATTCGGACAGAGCGTGGACTGCCAACATCAGTAGAGCTTGGGGCTACTGGCGTGGCCCGGAGACCATGCCACCGGAAAAGGGACAATGATGGAGACCTCAAGTGATCACGCTGCCAAAATTGAGAGCCAATCAAACAATTAGGGCATTACATAGCTCCCCTCTTCTCTTTTGAGCGTCGACTCAGAACTTTCCTCTGCCAACTTCCGTCGATACTGTAAGGAAACACCTAGTCGACGAATTTCTGTGCAACGTCACTGGTACCTCATGACAATTCTATTGGATCTGGAGTTTCATCCTGTGTGGGAACTGGATTCAGGGACTGATGAACATGGTGACCATCACGCGTATCAGTAGTTGGGTCTGGGAGCACTGGCCTAAAAGCAGGGTTAAGTAACAAAGGACGGGATTTAACATAGTTCCTCGGGCATATAAAATTGAATCCATTCCACTATGCTCCTTTGTTCTCACTTCGGTGCTACCCAGCTTCATCTACCTGGATTCTATCCAGCTGATGGAGAAATGGAGGAGGCATGACGAGTTCTCGTATTTGATATCTTCATACAGCTACGTTAAGCATCTCCGCAGCAAACATTTTTAGATGCTTCACGGCTAGTACCACTTCACTCTATAAATAACATACCTACAGAACATGGAACTAGGGTAGTTGCCAAAGGTAGACCTCACTTTTAGCTCTTTTACAAGGGATTGTCGCAGACTTTCCCATCCACGACAAATTCAATTCTTCCACCCCGCCAAGGTTTATCACCCGGTAGTAGAAATCAGGATAAAGGTCCCTTAAGGTAGGGTTTTCTTTCCTTTACTACCAGTGCAGCGTTTAGAGACTTCCTTGAAGACGAAGGGAGACATAATATCAGGGCAGAATGTGTATCGTCGACGTACAGTCGGGACGGGGCCGACTGGCATAGGTTGGAGGTCAGCCCACCCGGCGAAGGTACAATAGCAGAGCATCTAAGTAGCCCCTTTACCAAACCTAGTGTCAAACAAACAACGAGCAAAATATAATTACTAAAGTTGTTTTTTATGGGAAGAATCTCTATGGCCGCAAGATCAAAACTTTACACATCTAATATGAAGCTCCGAATAACCACAAAATCTCTGCCTACGATAACAACCAAGAATACCAACCTAGAAATGGTAATGTAGCATTTACTTGTAGGAAATCTGAGAGGCTACGAGGATGAGCAAGACACCAGGCCACCAGGAGGGTGATTAGAGCCTGCTATGACTGACAGGTCTCTTTATTATCAAAATGGTAATAGAGACATGAAATTCCTTTCACTACAGTAATGCGTACATTCGGCTTCAAATCACCAGGACCTACAAATTGGTTCTTGTAAACAAAACACGGCTTTGATGGTACAGGCAATTAAGTGCGCCTACCACAGTAAAAGGCGATTAAGGGTGCTGAAAGTCATTAGATCGGTGTGTGTGTGTAGATATTCATGTACCGATCATGTGCGTACATTCAGCCACAACACTGCAAAATTTGGACTAAATAAAGTATGAAATATATGATTTACTGGCTAAAGTTATTGTTTTTAATTCAGCTGTCCTTATCGCCAAGATGTGTCAATTTCACTTGAGATTTAATCTTGATGTTTGTGTGCCCATTCTCCGCTAAACGAAGACGCAACATGGTAGACCAGATTTTACCAACATTTATAACAAATTTAACCAAAGAAGGGAGAAAGTGCAGGAGTCCCAAAGACCTCATGAAAACTATGACTTTTAGTGGATCAAAAGCTCTTATGCTGTAGGTTGGTGTTTCTAGTGCCAAAATAGATCAGTGGTGATTTTGGTGTGAGGCTAGAATGAAGAAGTCATATCAGAAAATGTGAAACATTTACTTTGATCGTCAAGATGTTGTTCTGTATCATGGGGTGCCCTCGACTGAGCCCCAGTACTTTTACATGCTCTGAAACCCCATGAGATCTGACGATTTAAAGTAATTCTTGTTCTTCCCATTCAGATCCGTGTGATCAAATACATAATTGCAAAACTGTCAAAACAAGGTTCTCGTAGTTTAGCACAAGGTGACTCTTACTTGCTGCCAGTGGTACTCTTCCGTTCGACGTAATTAAGGCTAACATCTTGCACTTTGACTAATCGCCTCGAACAACATTTTAGGTCTGAAAGTATTCCATAACAAAAGCATTAACAGACACAGAAGTTGTAAATTACGACGAGCCTAGTTCAGAGTTGGGTGGGGCAACAAATGCGACTGCTTAATTATAATAAAAAGTGGGATGGGTATTAAAGCTTCGAAGACTACTTTTTGCCCTCAATACTGCACCCATTTGCGTGTACTTAATGCAGTCGATTCTGGCCTTTTGTTGCAAGAAGAATGCGGAAGATTGCACGACTACGTACTGGTTTGATTAATGATTGACAGCGGTTGTTGGGAATGCGGGTTTATCTCCTGGCAATATTACGCTATCGCCCCACAACAACTTTGCCCCCATCGCTTTACATTTCTGACAATATCTGATTTTAGACAGTAGTGTATTTCTTAATTCGCAATTGTCCTTTTGTGACGTAATTTTGCCATGTGGGAGTTTTGGTTTCCCTGTACACTTGAAAGGCATCCGTAAAAAAAGGGGAATTGAGAAAGTCAAAATAACGGCCCCACTAAGGCGTGAGATTTAGTCGAGTTTTGTTGCACGCAGGTTTGGTTAATTCAAAATGCAGGCGTCCCCACCCGCCCTAGGAGAAGCGGTCCTGGCACTAGCGCATGCATGCGCGTGAGTGTGTTGCCTGCGTGTTCGCGTGCGTACGTGCGAGCAACTTGGCGCGGTGCCAACTGCTAACTTGCAGTTGTGCCAAAGCTTGCGTTCTTTACGCTTACATCACCTCTCATTGACTCTCCTTAACTGAAGCGATCAACTTTAGCTAATGAGGCGGTAATGGGGCATTTATATTAAGATTGTCAAGCCCTTCATTTACTGGCCTGCAAGGCCATGCAGTCCGTTTGAAAGGGCAGGCCATCAAGAGCAAATATATGTGACATGTTATTCGGTAGCTTATGATAGCTGATTTCATCAGATGGTGCGTTGTAAATAGATTAACAAAGTGGGAAACAATAAAGTCAGCCAAAGGTTGTTCTTAATTTATTTTAGCTAATGAGCAGCAGTTAATTTGGGCCGAAAAATTGGGAGAAATATTGTGTAGCCAACATAAGTGGGGATTAAAAAAGGCAGCTTCTTTTGCAAATTGACAGAATCGAAATGATAACTCCACGTGAAACCAGACAGGCTGGTGTCTGAGGTATGCTCATGGAATCAACTCATTACCTTTCATTTCTTTAACGCATATAACCAAAGAAAAAACTATAAAAACAATTTCCCCAGCTCAGATTTTCTTTCAAATACACAGTACTGTTACCAGCTCCATATTTGTCAGCATCACTTTACGTAAGGGAAAATAACACCGAAGCATGCATATGCGATCCACGAGTAATTGCTAGCCGATGGAATGAACCAATCTTACCCCTGAGCATTTGGAAAAGACGAAATCACACCCAGAGTCAAAAAAGTGTGCTCATCTTTGCTGCATTTGTGCTCCAATTAATTAATGAAGTAGGTAGGATTAGAGGCGGCAATGTTTACCAGGAATGAAATTGCATTTTTCAAGAAGTCTTACGATACTTCTCCAGCCACCGAGAGCAAATATCCCCATTAGCGCATTCACTACCGAGTAAAAGCAATTACCACAACCCTAATATTTTACTCTTGTATATATGTTCACATTCAACTGCTGCTTTATTTCATTGTTCGTAACTTAACCAGTCGGTTTGCTACATGCGACTTAATGCAACCATTTAGTGGAACACGTGATGCCTATTAGTGACGATGAGTTCGGATTAGAAAATAGAGACGTCACAAATACGTGTCACCGGTAGCAAAGGCATTAATGCATTCCCAAGGCTTCGGTTGTACTCATGAGCAAAGCAGTTAGGTGTAAGTAAGTTTCAGTAGGAATGACTGCAATTGGAGTGGAATTCGCTACCCTCATTGCTAGCTGAAGCCTCACCTCAAAGACGAGGCAGTGCTGGTGGTGGCGGTGTTCTGATTAGCGCTTGTCCACCGATCAATCGATCGGTCGATCACATCGGCCACGCTCACACCAAATTGGCGTGTTCTAATTGGTGCAAATGAGCGCTCACGATAGCAACGCAAATGACCCACTTTGGGGCAACATTTATGATGCGATTACAGCCCTCTCTCGCTTGCGCGCTCTCCCTCTCTCGCCTTCTGACATGCAATTACAGGGCGTTCTGACAATGGTGCTTGCAGCAGCAGCGGTGGCGTCGTTGGTGGCGGTAGTAGCAGTAGTGAAGCTAAGTTAGTTTTCAATTCTAAGGTATTTCGTCCCTTTTGTAAAATACCTGAAAGACGATGATACCGGATGCATTCGTATCGCCTTCTTTCCCATAACTTGTGTAGATGTTAAAGAACTCGTAACCTTTAGTATTTCCCCTTTTCCACGCCAGTTAGAGGTCAGAATTTCACCTTCGTGTAAAGTGAATTCCGTGAATGCAACAAACCCTTCATTGATAAGCCATTTGCATGGATGTTAAGGTCAACGCGTGTAATCGGTTTTGTGGGGGCATAGCACGAGTACAGCCACCCAAATCTCCAAAGACTTGGCGGAAATCTCAGGCTTTCAGGCCTTATTTAACTACGCCTCATATTGATGTTACCTCTTTCTTGGGTATGCATTTGTGTGGGTGATATTCAGAGCTACCTTGTTCCATTTATCAGATATTGACTCACAAATTTCTAAGTACAAATGATTTTAAAGAATCGTTCACCATTTAGCTGAATTTAAGAGCTATGATGATGTCGAAAATGTGGGTAGCTAATGGACTGCGAAATTTTTCTATAGGTACAAGGACTCTCATCACCAAATCTATGTGTTTGGTAATAACAAGTAAACAGCTGCAATCATCCATATTAAAATTAACAGAAGCAAAATGCTGCATTTACTTAAATAGTTTGGAATTTGGATAGAGGAGAACAAACCAGTGCGGCTAAGTAATCAATTTCCCATGGCCACTAGCATAAACTGTCAATGAAGAAAGCAGTAGCCTTAATTGGGAAGGGTAGAAATAATGCTTTATTGAATCCGCACCTCAAGGACGTTTTGGTGGAGAGAAGTTAGTCGATACGGCGTCAAAGCGTCACAAACTCCTCTGTTTGGTGAATGGATGTTGCACAAAACAAAGTAGGACCGATAAATACGATTTGAACCAGCTAGGTTTTGTAGTACTGTGAGAATATTAATTGGATAAAAAATGAGATTACTGTGTCGCAAGGGACTAGAAATTGGGAATAAAAACGTCAAACTATTGAAATTAATTTAAGGATGGGA